ATCCTCATCCTCATCCTCATCAGCATCATCATCACCACCACCGCCATCATCATATTCTTCTTCATATCAGTATCAAAAATCAGCATCAGCACCACCACCATCACCACCACCACCACCACCATCATCATCATCATCATTATCACACTTCCCCTCCCCCGCTTCATCCTTGAGGCAAGGAACGATTGGTCCAGACCGACTTCGTTTATAGTCAGCGACGACAACGACGACGACGACAACGACGATGGCGCGACGGCGGCGCGACCCTGTTTTTCGGCTGCCCAGGAAGTCCCTTCTGGTCCCTTCGGGGAGCCTCCTGAGCCGACGGGAGGAAAGGGGCAGAAGGGAGGAGGGGGGACGGGAAAGGAAGGAGCGAGAAGGGGGAGGGGGACGAAGAAGAAGAAGAAGAAGATCAACAACAACAACAACAACAACAACAACAACAACAACAACAACAACAACAACAACAACAACAATTACTAGCACGTGGGGACACTCCGTTCTCACCAGTGCCAGGGTTTTCATACGACGCCCGCCAATACCCCCACTTTGTGGGGGGGCCGGTTCAAGCTCTACCACATTTCCAAACGACTCTTCGCCACCACCCACACCCAGCTTCCCGCCCTATGACGTTCGGACACTTCACTTCGTGGCCTGCGGACGACCGTGGCTACTACACTGGCGCATGGGTACAGTGACTTGTGTGACTACGGGTAGAAATTTTGAAAATTCGTACAGATGTTTTTCGAGGACCTACGGTGCGATTCGTATGATTTTATGTTGCGCGGTGCTAAAATTCTTAAGAAACCCAATGGTTTTTGAAGATTTCGGCGTGCGCGCGCGAAGAAAAAACGAATGTGTCCCGCATGGTATTATTTGACAGGGATGATGGCCCTGGCAGGTGCGCAACCGTTGTTGGAGAAGTTCGAAGCACGTGAAAAAGTTGCTCGCAAAAGCCCGTTTGACAGAAATGTTTAAAAAGTGTTGGGTTTCCTACGAATCCGCAAGAGCGCGCGGGATGAAATTTTGACATTTTTTTTTGAAAAACCATTGGTTTTTTGATGTTTTTATGTTAAAATCGCTACGAACACTAAGGTTTTGGAAGGATTTCGTCTTGCGCGCGCGAATGTCCACTTTACCTTATTTTTTGCAAGGGATTCTTGAAGTTTGGTTATGTTAGAACAAGAAATGTCCACTTTGCCTTATTTTTTGCAAGGGAAAACCGCCCGTAACAAAACAACCGGATCCGGACCAACCCGTTTTGCCGGAGACTTCCTCACGAAAATGATGAAAACATGGCTGCGGCCTAGGCGCGGCGAGGGGGCCGCGCACCAGGGGTCCCAACAATAATTATTCTTTAGAAGTAATAATGTTCAACAACAACAACAACAACAACAACAACAACAACAACAACAACAACAACAACAACAACAACAACAACAAAAAGAACAAGAGAGGGGGGAAGGGGGAGGTGGATTGCGCTAAGGAGGGGAAAGGGAACGGGTGAGGCAGGAGCTGGGGGGGGGAGCCCGCGAGACCCGGGGGGAGCAGGGGAGGGCGCAGGTAGGGGAGAAGGGCCTTCCAAACGGGGGGGATCCTTGGCGACGATGGAGGCCAGACGACCGAGCAGGTGGCCACGGCAGTCCACCACGATCTGCGGCTTGAACGACATGGCGTGTGGCGGCACTGGCGCGGTGCCCAGGGCGCGCCCACGACCTACGGAGGAGCCAGCTGGAACCCTGCCGGGCGTGCGCACGGCGAGCAGCTCTGGATCCCGCCCGCCCCCCCCTTCCTCGCTCCCGCTCCTCCGAGGGGACCCCGATGGGCTGGAACAGAGGACAGAAGACAGAGAGGGCCAGCCTCCGTCGCTCCCTCGCATCCCCTCCCCTGACGCTGGCGGCCCATGTCCGTATCTCCTCCCCGCCGAGGCCGGCATCCTCCTCCTCCTCCTCCTCCTCCTCCTCCTCCTCCTCCTCCCTCCTCCCTCCTCCCTCCTCCCTCCTCCCTCCTCCCTCCTCCCTCCTCCCCCCTCCCTCCTCCCCCTCCATCCCATCCCTCCTGCCCCCTTCATGCCCAGCGGGCCAGCAGAGGGCCGGTGCCCTCTCCGAGAGCCCGTGCGCAGCTCAGAAAAAGGATCGCCCCTCCGAGAGCCGCGCGCTCGCCTCCGGCTGACGTGGGCCTGGCAGGGATTCTGCCAACAACGATAAGCTCGCGGCGAAATACCCTCGACAACTGCCAGCCCCACTCTCCCAAGCAGCGCTTGCTTTTGGGAGTGCTTACCTGGCTTGTGAGGAGCTGGGTGCCACGTGGCGCTGAGTTTCCGCTCGCGTGGGGTCCCGCCAGAAAGCCCCTCGGACCGATTTGTCGATGTCTCTGCAACAATTCCCATTGTATGCGGGGCTCTGGCGCACTTGAAATCGGAAATGGTCGTCTTCAATTCCGCAAGCTACGGAAGCATCCGAAGATCCAGGTGCGACCAAACAAGATGGAATGTATAATTCCTGGTGAAATGCTGCAAGCAGGCCCGCGAACTCCAGTAACGGCCTCTAGCATCCGTCATTCGTGTGATTATGGTCCTCGTCCGCCTCGTCTTCGCAGCAGTCATAGCTCGTAGATCTTTGTTCTCCTCAGTATGGCGGTGATGCGGGCTTTCCATTCCACTGGTTTTTGACGTCGCACGTCATGCCGCATGGACCTGCTCAAACATCATCTTGCTGGCTGGCCACTGTCTGGCGTCTGTCGCTGTTGATGGATCAAATAGCGCAGATTCGTCTCGTCGTCATCGCTGCCGTGCGGTGTATCTACGGTCTTGTTCGCATCCTCCCCTATATCCTCACTATTCGTATGCATCATAGAGTCGAGAAGCGATTTCGGAATGCACCCGCACAAATCATGGAAAGAAGGGGGGAGGAGCGAGCGAAGCGAAACGAAACGAGCGCGCGGTGTCGGTCTGGCGGGGCTGGCCATGCGAGGGTAGCGTGGCGGGCTGGGGCCCTCACGCGACGCGGTGTGAGCAGGAGTCGGAGTCTGAACTGCGGGTTCGAAGTCGGAGGCAAAAACTGACTTTGCCTGCCGCTGTCCTTTCTCATCGTCCGTGTACGGGATTGACCACAATTGCTCCAATGCTTAGCGCCGATGTGGATGTCTGTATCCAGACTCGGAGAGACGATCGCGAGAATCGGAAAAATAAGCGCAGGAGTCGGAAGATAGGGAAACCGCAATCGTAAGGGTAAGGGCCGGAGTCGGAGACACAATCGCAAGAGTTGGAAAGGCAGGCGCAAGAGTCGGAAGATTGGTCACCAAAACAGGAAAGACGATCGCAAGAATCTGAAACAAAACGCAGCAATTGGAAAAAAAGCGAACCAGAGTCGGAAAGATAGGTCAGCGAGATGGGTGTAGGAGTCGGAAAAAAAACGAACCAACAAAGGAGCTGGAGTCGGACTGTTGGGTGGCGAGGATGCCACATTCGAGATACGTAGTGCTGGAGTCGGAGAAATACGTCGGTTCTTATAGCATGTTTGCAATAATCGCACGCGTAGCACAAACCAAAAAAACATGTTCCAATGTTTACCCGAATTGTTGATATGTCGCGGTTACCAACCACCCATGGTCGTGCTCCTGGTCGCCGAAATCTTCAAAGATGTCCTTGGCGCGTACGAAGTGCACGATGTCGTCTGACCATCGCGTTCGTTGTTCTCCATGTCGCCGGTGTGCTGGGCGTGGGTCGTGCGAATCTGGTTTCCACAACGCAGCTAAGAGCGTCCACCTGTCGCAATCATATGATGCCACACGGGATGCCCGCCTCCATTTTAGCTTGAGATACAATGTAATACATGATTACACTTGCGCTCGGAAGGCATGCTTCGTAGTTTCGAGTGCGGCTCTTCGCACGTGGTCGACCCATGGCTCCGTTTCGTAGTCCAAATACTCGGCTGTGTTGCAGGTTGGGTGGTTTGCATTGTTTGCTTTATTAGTGTCGGTTGTGCTGTGGTATGCCGTCGTCGCGGCACTCCCGTGACAAGCCGGAGCATTTTCCGTCGAACGCGACTCCAAGAATCAACATTTCTTTGGTCAGAGTCCAAGATAAAGATCCATATATTACGAATGGCGCGATCGTGCCGTTGAAGAGCTTCAGTCTACTATGGAGCGGGAAGCGATTGCTAGTCAGTTCGTTACCAAATTGATTGATATGGGCCCATCCTGCCGCAATCATGTTGCGCAGCTTTGTGTCGTGAAAGGAAAGTGAGTTTTCTTCCCAAGTGTTTCGTGCTATGGTCGGAGTGCAATATACTGATGCTGTCGCCGTTGATCTCGACATGGGTAATTGTTCTCCCCTCCATCTAACTAGCAAGTGTCAAAAAATTCGGCGTCTGGATGCGATGAAAGGCCGCATCTGCCCGCACGTCGTCGGCGAAGCGCAAATTTGTAAGCCGAGCTTACACTGAGGAACCAAATTGCATCCCGATTGCCTTGCGAAGCCAAACAAGTTTTATTTGCCGGAACAATGCTCGAGGACGGCGTTGAAAAGGAAAGAGCTCAACGGGTCTCCTTCTTTGACTCCCCATTCGATGTTGAAAACTCTGATGTTGGTATATGTTCGGACTGTCGCCGCTTGGGTGACACATTATTGCTTCCTGAAGCTGATGTTGGCTGATGGTAGATGTTGTTACCGTGGAGCGTCCCATGGGAGGAGGAGGAGGTGGGAATCGGAGAAACAGCTGCTGGCAGATGAGAAAGGGAAGAGAGTGAGATGAGGAGGAAGATGAAGAGAAGGAAGGGGCGACAAACCCAATCGAGCCCTGAAGCCTTCCGCGCAGATGGCCTTTGATGGAAGGCAACGCAGGTCATCTGGGGAACCTCAGCAACCTGTCGAACTGTCCCACACGGCATGAATTGGCACATCAATGAGGCATTGCATCTGATCGGGGCTGACTCACCTGTGTCCATGTTACTCCTTATTCACGCCCTCCCCCTGCATGTCTTTTTGAGGTCCGTGCGCCATGGGCTGGTTCTCCTGCTTCTACTTAGTCTCCTCCTTCCCGCGAACGCAAGGGCCAAAACCGCCGCCGAATAGGCTACGGGAGCAGACATGAGCGAGCCACGACGCAGGGTGCGCACCTTTCTCGCAGCACGAAGCGTCTGGCCCCCCAAGCATGTTCCAGATGTCGCAGCAGCGCTAATGTACAGTGGCAGCTATGGCCGAATTTGCGCTTGCACGGCACACGTGAGCACCAATTGTCTTGAAAACGCCTTGGAGAGGGCAGCGGGCATGAGGCACCAACTCAAAAAGAACGCAGCGCTTGCACCGAATAAGAAAGGAGTTGGGTGGAGTTATCAATAAGGGTTGGCACCCGATCCTGAGCATCCACCATCGCGCCCTGAGCACGCAATGGATTGACCCAAGGATCATACCATTGCGATGACTGTAAAAGATTGCATGTTCTAAGCGCCCGGACTCCAAGCTTGCCGGAATTTACAGGTGTATTGGGTGCTCTCAAGATGTGCCGCGAGAGCTTCCCGGATGCTAGAACTACTGCAAAACCTACCGGACGTTTTTCGACAACTTCGGCCTCAGAGCGTGCGCTGGGACAGATGTCCAGGACCTGCCCAGCCCAAGACGACCCCAAGAGCCCCTCGAGAACATCTGGGACTTCTCACACGTTTCTATAGACACCCAAGGCGCCCGCTGGAGGGCCCAAGGCGCGGTGGCGGGATAGACCAGAGGCTACTAGATCCGCCGCCCCCGGTTGATTTATCACAGGGGCGCCTGGCGTGCTGAAGTTCTGGTCGCGTTTGGTTCTTTCCAAACCCGCCAGCCACGCGGAAGGCCGCGCAAGCCGCAAAAAAAACCCAACACGCCTCTAAAACGGCCAAGATGGCCCAAAGAGAGCCCAAGATGGCCCCAAGATGCATGCAAGACGACCCAAGATGCACCCAAGACGGCCCAAGATGGTCCAAGACGGCCCACGAGACCCTCAAGAGGCCTCCAAGACAGCCCAAGAACCCTCCACGAGGTCCTCCAGAAAGGCCCGAAGAGGCCAAAATCCTTAATTGCCCTACGTTTTAGGAAGATTTTGGCATGTGCTTCAAAACGGCCTTCCGACGGTCAAAGACGGCTCAAGAGGCCCCCAAGACTGCCCCCCAAAAGGCCTCCAAGATGGCCCCAGGACGGCCCAAAAGGCCCCCAACACGGCCTGCAAAGGGCCCCAAGACGGCCCAAGAGGCCTCCAAGACGCCCCCTTCAAGACGGCCCTGAAGCGCCCCAAGAAGGCCCCAAGACGGCCCAGAGAGGCTCCCAAGACGGCTTCCGACGGAGTTAGGCGGGCCAGGAACGCCGCAAGACGGCCAAAGAAGCTCCCAAGAAGCCCCAAGGCCCCCAAGGAGGCCCGAAGAGGCCTCCAAGGCCCCCAGGAAGCTCCCAGGAGGCCCCAAGAATGACCCAAGAGGCTCCCAAGAGGTCTCCTCCTCATTCTCCTCAATGTCATGTTTTCTCCCTCTCCTTATCCTCTTCCTCCCTCACGTGTTCCTCGAGGGGCTTCCACAACGGCTGGGGAACGCATAGTCCAACAGCGTGGCCAAACTTTGCCCAAACGTTTGGCCACATAGGCATATCCTAAAAGGAAGGGGGCGGCGGTGATTCACCGTAGGCGTCTTCGACACACACACACACACGCACATGAAATGATGGAGAGGGGCCTGATCCAGGCCCACTACACCAACATACTAAACTGCAGCGGAGCACGAATGCGGGCGTCTTCCGAAACCGAAGTCCTGGTTGCCCTGCCTCGCCCTGGATTTCGTAGTTGGGAGGGCAACTTTGGATCGCGTACTACTGGCGCCCAGTCTCACAAGCCAGTCCTCTGGGCGTAGGTGGTGCAGCGCGCCGGCTCTTCCACCCACCACAACCACTTTCCCTCTGGAAGAGATTCGCCCCTCCACGCAAGTCCCCCGTTGGGCTGGACCGGGGGGGTCTCAAGAGACCGGAATGCCCAAGAGTGTCCAAGATGGGTCCGCGATGGCCTCAGAATGCCCAAGATTGCCTCAAAATGATAGCCCAAGATTGCATCCAGCATGGCATTGATGTTCGCATAGTCTGTTTTCGAGTGGCAGTTCTGAATGTTATTAGTGGCCGTGCGTTCCCAAGGCCCCAAGAGGCCCAAAATGGCAGCAAGAGACCCCACAAATGCTCAAAATAGCTCCCAAGCCGAATCTGGAAAAGAGGGCAACAATCCCGACTGGGTCAAACCCGAAGCTCCAACGTGTGATTGCATCCGATGGCTTCCAAGACGACCAGAACAGGCAAAGCAACAATGGTGCTTGTGGGCCCCGTGATGACGGTGGTGATGCTGCAGACGCTGGCGGTAAGCACTGGCATCTGATGCCACCCGCTGGTCGAACAGCCTCTCCTGAAGTTCTAAGATTATGTCGGGCCTGTCCCCCTGCAGGGGCATTTTCGACGAAAAATAAAAATCCAAAAGTAGTCTGGGGACTATTTTTGGAGTATGTCTTGACCTTTTTGGGGTATGTTTGGGGTATCTTGTATTTTTCGTCGAAAGTCCCCCTGTAGGGGGACAGGCCCGACATAGCTCTAAGAGAACGAGATGGACCCCTCGGAGGGAGCCCCGAGCTCCAAGACAAGAGAGACTCCCCGCGCGAACCCGTTGACAGCAAGCAGCACGCAGCAGCTTCAGGTCCTCTAGTACAAGAGCTCCCAACTTCGCGCTGCGCGAAGCGCGAAGTGCGAATAACTCCGCGCTCTCGCGCCGCCTCCCCAAAGGGAGAAGAGGATGAGGAGGAATCGGAGCCGAACCGCGAAGCGCGAAGCGCGAATAACTTCGCGCCCTCGAGGGCGCCCTTGTCTACACGCGGTCCTCTATTCATGGAAGCATCATCCGAATCTGAACGATTCCACGCGAAACACTCCCATCGACGTCATGTACCAAAGCCGCAGTCCCCGCAGCCAGCGTCGTTTCTGTGGCCGTCCCCGCTGTGCTCACCAACGCCTTGACGGCAAGTCAAGGTCAGCGTAGCCACGCCTCCTCAGAGGCACCATGTTAGACTGATCCCTCCGCCGATTCGAACTGTGCCCACGGCCTTTATCTCGCGCCTATGACCCCGCCCTGGACGACAAACACCTACAGACACATAAGCTTTCGGAAGTTCGCGCGGACTTCTCGGGTCAGCGCTGGACACCCTCCCATGACGCGGAGCACGCCGCCGCCAAGGGTCCAGCAACGATATACGAGATCAGCGCGGACCTCCAAAAATGTATGTTTGTACCGTTGTTGCTCGTCTTCGGCTCTCGGGACAGAGCGCTCAGAAATCGTTTCGGGGATGGGTGGGTGGACATGTGCACGCGAGGCTTCACGAGATGTTGTTTCGGAGCCGCGCCACGCTTCGCGGGCGACGCCCGCCAAAGTATGGCATCCAAGACCGAGCTCAACCCTGCAACTCCGACACCGGAGCGTGGAGACCTTATTACACAGGGTGTGTATAGGATAGCACTGAGGAAATAGTTCCTGCATGCACCGTATACCGTAAGTCGTTCGCTGTGTTCGGGCCAGCGGGGCCGTCAGCGGGCCCCCAGGACCGTCCAAAAAACGAACCAGGACGAAGAACCATTCCTTCATGGGGTAAACTGGGTAAGCCACTGGGGACCGGGGTAAGCCACTGGGAACCATTCCTTCATGGGGTAACCTGGGAACCAGGATGAAGACCGCCAAAAACAAACTAACCTGGGTAAGGCACTGGGGAAAGCACCATTCCTTCATGGCGAACATAGTGTGCTTGTGAGACTTTCCAGTCGATGGGAGATGTTCGCACGCGGGCAGTCCGTGTCGTAAGGGGCACTGCTGGGAGCGCATGGCAGTGCCCCAAATGCGACCGTCCAGCCAGCATCCCAGCCTGGCATTACAACCTGGACGATCCTGTTCTGCAGGCCCACCAAAAGCCGGCGGCAGACACCGAGCGATCCAGGCAACGTCGCTGCTTAACACAACTCCAGATAATGGCTACCACATGGCTATACCATCAACACTTCCCTACTACATCACGGCCTCTGCACGGCTACCTCCTAACACACCTACCAGACCACACCAGACCATGGCCCGTCGAAAATTGTCCTCCGATACCCTCGCTACAAGAACGTCAGCAGTCCCTACTCGTCCGCTAATTGCATGTGTTGCTAGAAGCGCAACAAATCTGAGCTTCCGTTTGTCACCGCGCGTCTAAGCAAACAACAGTGTGGACGCTTCGGCAGACGCCTCATCCAAAGCAATCACTTCTGCGCCAACTTCCGTACAAGGCAACTCCAAATAACAACCCAGTTGACCAACAATTTGAGCACGCACTTCCCGCCCGTATTCCCCCTACTCGTTCTCTCAATGGCTACCCCTCTGTCGCGCAAGTACTCATTCCAGTCACTAGCCCCTTCCAGCCCTCCGACCAACCCCAGAAGCCCTACCTCGCTGAGATGCAGGCGCCCGTTTCAAGCCACTCGAAGCCATTACTGGCCATCCGAATTGCCTCGCTAGCGCTGGATGGTGCAAATGCTCGATCTGGTCAGCCTCAGCTAGCCCTCTTTCGAGGACTTGGTGGCGGCCCGCGTACGTCCGAACGTCAGACCTGGCGGGCACAGGGGCAGCAAGGCCAGCAGAAGGGGATGTCCCTTCCAAAATGGCACCTGCTCCAAAGACCCCCACCCTTCCGCGAACTGATCCCTACATTCTGAGGCCTGCTCCGCATGCTGGCCGCAGCGTCCTTCTTGCACACTGAAACTGCACATTCGACCGATTGCCCGCAGCCCCAGCTCGCCTTCGACCTGATCCCCACTTCGCTTACCGAATACCCCCACATACCCTATCGTGATTCCTCCTCCTCATCGGCTGTTGCCGCAGCGTGGCCATACGTGAGCGAGAAGATGATACGAATAATGTTCAGAACGTGGAAGACCGTGCTCAGGAGAAAGACCGAACACCTCGCCGCATGGAAGTCTGGACTCGGACCCGAAGAGACACGACGGAGAGAAAGGGGAACGAGGAGGAAGGCACGAAGAAGGACTGAAAGGGGGAAGAGGGAAGTTGGAGGATTAGCAGCCACAAGGGTTCTCACCGTGCCACCCCCGACTCTCTGTTTGACTTCGCACATCAGGCGCGGTTCGGCAAATCCTCTCCCACGAGGCACAAGCAAGGTCGCGAGAGCATCGACAGGAATAGCTCGCCTCACTTGTCACCGATCATAACTAGCATCAACCTCGGCCTCCTCGATGTCCTTCGATTCGTCGGGATTTGACCGCCAAGCGATTGGGGTAACCACATGAACTGGCCAGGGACCAAAACGCTCCTGCCCCAGGAAAAGAGAGTACCCCATTCCATGTTCAGGAAGGCGTCACCACGCATACACACACACACACACACACACACACACACACACACACGCACGCACACACACACACACACACACACACACACACACACACACACACACACACGTCTGCATACATGTATACATGTAACTAAATATATACACACTTATGAACTAGAACCATCGCGCGCGCTTCGCGCGCGCTCAGGTTCTAGCCCAGGCTGGGAGGGGCGCTGGAAGATCTTGGACAGCGCTATCAGGCACAGGTGCGTGACATAGTCGTGCCTCCTGAGGGCCTCTTGGGAATCTCTTGGGTCTTCGCGAGGACATCTGAAGGGCTTCTGGGGGGTTCTCCGTGCTTCCTCAGTTGGCTGTTGGAAACACCTCTTTGATGCTTCTTTGGGGGGGCGTCTTGGGGCTTCTTGGGGCCCCTTGGGGGCAGGCGTCTTAGAGCGATCTTTGGCCGTCTCGGGGCCCTCTTGGACCATTTTGGGGGCCCCTGGGGCCGTCTTGGAAGACCCAGCGGCATGCTCCGCTGCCGCCGCGAAGGCTGCGGCCGCAGAGGCGGCCGCCGCGCGCGGCGCGGGCGGCTCGGCGCGGCTCCCCGGGGCATCCCACAGTGACGGGGCCTCAGGACACACAAATAAATCGACACAAGTAACAGGATTCCCCATACTCTCCCATCTTTTTCTGGGTTGTCGTCTTCCCCCCCACTTGCCATATGTTCCCACATTTTCTGGGGAATCGTCGATTAACTGTGTCTGCGTGTGTCTTTTCCCCTCCTGACACAGGGTGGGGCGCAGGCCCGAGGAGGTCGGAGCTGGGGGCGCTCGCGCGAGGCGCCCGACCCGTCGCCTGGGGGCGGAGGTGGCTCGAGGCGCCCCCTTCCCGCGGGCGCCGGCGGGCGTTCGGGACCAATGAGCGCCGCCGGGGGGCGCGGGTGAGCTGCCCGAGGCGCGTCCTCGCTTGGCGGCGCCCTCGGCTTTGGCACCCTGTCGCTTGGCGCCTCCTCAGCCGAGAGAGGGGCTGTCACGGAGCAGGACCTGGCGAGTAGAGCCAGGACACACTTTCAAGCTTCCCTGCAAGCTTGTCGGCTGCTCGGAGTGTTCCTTGTGAAGCCAGACTGCGCTGCTCTGGATGCTCGATTTTGACGTCCCAAATTCGATGACGTCTCTCTGCCTGTTGTCCCAATGCTGCAATCATCCGACTCGCATATTTTTTCGATGTGCTCAAACTCCTAATCTTCATAACCAAACGTGGATCAGTGATTGATCGCTTGTATGGTTGGCCCGCCCTCAGGCGTTGCTGCCCACAGTAACTCGTCCACACGTGTACCCCGCTGGGCACACACTCCAACAACGCTGTAGCTGTAGAGTGCATGGTGACTACCATTCCCTTCCCCGCCCTCCCCGTCAACTCCCTCCCCCACCTCTCCTCGTCAACCGCCTCGTCCTCCTCCTCCTGCTCCAGTCTGGAGTTTGGGAGCATCCTGGCCGTTCGACTTTTTCCTGCCAGGTCTGTGCAAGCGCGGGGCCCGTACCCTGCCCCTCTCCACTCCACCCTTGCTTCTTCGAGGGAGGACAAGGATGGGAGGGGGAGGGGACCTTCACCTTGTAAACCCCAGCCCTCAAGGATGGGCACTGTGTTCGTACCCACGCCGCCCGTCACGTCCTCCTCTTCCTTCTCCTCAGCATCCCCCCTCCCGATTATGACAACTATCACGTCACAAACAGGTCACCGAGTCTGGCCGTGAATCAAGCAATGGCATGCGAGACGTTTCTACACACTGGCCGTAGACTTGTCATAAGCTCCCATTCCCCTGTCCTCTTCCATCCCTCCTCACCTTTCCTCCATTTCCCATCCCATGCCCTCCCATTCCCCTTCACTCCCCTCCCCTCCCCATTCACCTCCTGCCTTCAACAATCCGAACAGACTGGCCACAGGTGCCGAGGAAAGTTCGCGAAACGGTGCCAAGTATGTGCATGTGTCGGTCGGATCTGGCGCATCGAAGGCCTGCCTTCTCCTCCTCGTCCTGCTTCGCCCTTCGGTGTCCTCCTCCTCATCCTCCTCACGCTTTCATGCCAGTGGCCCTTCATGGGATGAACGCCCCGCGGGCCCTCCACCACCACCTCCTTATTCTCTGTGGGGGTTAAAGATCTTCAGGTCAGAGCCTGGTCTGTGCCAGTGCGCTTCTCTCTTCCCGTCTAATTTGTGCCAGCGCCCGGGCCCACCACAGGTACTGCGACAGCGGCGCCAGGCTCTTCGACGCGAGGTACCCGCTGCAGACGCTGAGGTAGAGCGACAGGGGCAGGACGAAGGCCTCCGCAGGAGGGGCGAGAGCAACAGCAGGAGGAGCGGATGCAAGAGGAGCAAGACGATCAGAAGGATGACGAGCAGCAAGACGGTGCAAGGAGGGGAGGAAGGGGAGGAGCAGAAGGAGGATGAGAAGGAGGAGGAGAAGGGAGAAGGGAAAAGGGGAAGGAGGGAGGGGAGGAGGAGGAGGACAGCGACGTCCCATTCGGCGCAGCGCCGCTCCACTGCGAGAGAGCGCAACATAACAGATACCGGAGACGTGATTCGCCCAGCCTGGTGGCGCTGACGACGCATGGCACGGGTTATGCTGTGCCTCCTCCTTCCCCTCCTCGCAACATCCTCTTTCGCATGAGTCCTCCTCCTCCTCCTCCTCCTCCTCCTCCTCCTCCTCCTCCTCCTCCCTCCTCCTCCTCCTCCTCCTTCTCCTCCTCCTCTCCTCCTCCTCCTCCTCCTCCTTCCTCCTCCTCCTCCTTCTCCCCTCCTCCTCCTCCTCCTCCTCCTCCTCCTCCTCCTCCTCCTCCTCCTCCTCCTCCTCCTCCTCCTCCTCCTCCTCCTCCTCCTCCTCCTCCTCCGTTCATGTTCCTTATGAATAACTTCTCCCCGTCGCACCGCGAGGCCGGTCCTTAGGGCGAGCAGGGCGTTTCGCATGAGCTTTCCTCACCATTTATGACCCTGAATCTGAAAATTTACAACAGGCTCACAAATTGAAGTCGGGTGGTTTTCAAAGTGCGGCTCTCGCCCTAGCGCTGCGCACATTCGTTATAAAAAATTACAAAGGTTTCACGGATTGAGGGCGGCTGGTTTGCAAAGTATGACTCTCCGTAGTGCCGCGCACATTCGTTGTGATAAAATTACAAGCGTTTCACGGGTTGAGGGCGGTTCCTTTTCAAAATGTGGCCCTCGCCTTAGCGCTGCGCACCTTCGTTGTACAAATTGCAAGAGCTTCACGGATTGAGGGCGGGTGGCTTTCAAAATGTGGCTCTCTCGCCTTAGCGCAGCGCATATTAGTTTCAAAAACTTGCCAGAGCTTCACGGGTTAAAAGCGAGTGGCTTTTAAAATGTGGCCCTCGCTTTAGCGCCGCGCACATTCGTAATAAAAACTTGCAAGAGCTTCACGGGTTGAGGGCGGTTCCTTTTCAAAATGTGGCCCTCGCCTTAGCGCCGCACACATTCATTTTAAACAATTGCAAGAGTTCCACGGACTCCCATGATCAACGTACCAGAGATTACATTCTGGAAAGATTCATGATGATGAGGGTGCAACAATTACGTTGATTCACGTTGTTGACGTCCCAAGAATGGCTTTCTGGCACGATTCAGGATCGTAAGGACGCCACAGTCGGATTGATCCGTGGCGTTGGAGTCCCGAGAATAATGTTTTGGCATGCTTCAGGGTCTTCAAACGGTTCTCTTCCAGCGAGGCAGTTCCCTCAGTGGAAATGAACCGTTGTAGGGGCCAATGAAGAGGGAGCTTAGAGGGAGGGCTTATTCCAACATCGTTGATGATTCTTGGGCTTACACTGGTCCTCCTCCTCCTCTTCCTCCTCCTCCCTTGTCCTTCCTCCTCCTTCAGCGCCAGCTCAAGCGTCCCTCCCAGGGATTGCGAGCCGGCTCTGCTGCCCCCGCCCCTTCATCTGCACTCCTCTCCCACGCAGACATCGCGCCATGGACTAGGCACCGCCCTGGCGCGGTGCGCGACCCCGTCGCACAGCAGCCGAGCGACGCGCTCAGGCTGCCCGAGCGCAACTCGGCGCCGTCTGGGTCATTGTACAAGACTTCCGCGCCAGGCAACACCGCGGACGCCGGCCCACGCGCCCAGACACTGTCTTGACCCAGTCACTAGGCTGACTAGGGGCAGGCGTTGCCAGTCAAACTCACGACCTGCCCGCTGCAAACTGTTTGCCGCAGCCAAGAGTGCCTCGACTGCCTGCTCGAGACGCCGCTGCTACACGCTATGCAGAGCTAACTACTTAGTCTCGCACCCGTTTTTCCAGCACGGCACAGGAGGCACGAGCGGCCTGCAGGTATCCAGCAGCGGTTGCCAGCCGACGCTGCCAGCCGACACCGCCTGCCAGCCTCTGCCGGCAGACACTGTCTGGTAGACCAACAGACGTTGCCAGCCAGCCAGCGCCAACAGTCGCCCATTGCAGCGCCAGCCAGCAGCTGTCCGCAGACGTTGCCCAGAGCGCCCACGCGCGCCGCCCGCCAACACCAATCGTGGGCCCGCTGCCCATTGGGACCAACACCTGCCCGCTGCCTGCACCAACCTCTGCCTGCCCTCCGGTGCCGGCCTCACCACGCTCGCGCCAGAGCAGCCCCATCGGCATCCTCCGCTGGCGCCTCCTGTTCAAGGGACGATTGCCAGGTGGCTCTACAAAGCAGGAAGCAGAGCCACACACGTCAGCGTAGCCGCGCGCGCAAGTGTGTCCCAACCCCTACGCATGTAAGTCTCCACACTCAGCCTGAGCCATGGTGCGACAGCTGCATATTTGAAAAAGTCCTGCGCGTTCCAGCGCAGACGCTCAGGCTTCCACCTCTTCCTCCGCTTGCTCTACGCCCTCGTCGTCTGCCACCGCAGAAGGGGAGGGGCACAACACCTGGCGGAGCAGATTCTCCCGCACCGTCTCTAAGGTTAGGGGCGTCAACAGCGAGACCCACTGCTGCAACGCCCGCACACATTCGGGCTAACGTGGTCGATAGTATTGATTTATCCTTGCGATCCTTCATCCTCCGCCTCTTCCGCAGCGTCGTCTTCGGCAGTCCACTCGGACACTGCTTCAGGGTTCACCCAATTGCAGGCGTCAAAACAACCAACGCAACGGTGGGAATTGACGTTGGCAATGGCAGGTGCATTGTTCAATCGGGTTTTGAACGCAGGTGTAATTTTCGATCGACTTCTAAACGTAGATTGGAACTGCGACTGTCATGGAATATCTATTGTTGCGCGCTCGGTATCACATGACGTTGTCTAGCGCGCCAGCGCCCTAGGCCCACCGCATTCACAGTGCTAGGAGGCGGGAGGCAGTTCAGGACAGGCAAAGCAAAGTATTCGCAGGGGCTCCGCCAAGCAGGAGTTTGCCCAGCAGCAACGGGCAGCGTTGCATGGCAACGATATCACTTGACTGCGTATACCAATGTAAATATATATATACACACATACATATACATAGACAGTGCTCTTGAGGCACGAGTTGGTGTGTCCTCAGATCCTTGGCCTTATCCCCGAAGCCTTACTCCTCAGTCCTGAGGATTATTTAGGGGCCCGCACCCCACATTCACAAATCACCTGGGACTTCCCGCGTGACCCCTGGGCTCACCCGCATAGAGTCGCATGACGCTTTCGTGTTCACGAGGGCCCCAAGCCTTGCCAAGAGGACCCCAGGAGGCCCCCAAGACGGTCCAAGAGGGCCCCGAATCGCCGAACGATCGGTCCAAGACGCCCGAGATGGCCTGAAGACGGCTGAAGAGGCGCCCAAGGATACCCCAAGAAAGGCCCCGGAGGCCTCCCAGGGGGGCCCCTGGAGGCACACATTGTGAAAATCCAATGGGGAAAGATACAAGTTTAGCATACACGACGTTTCGGCCTCACGGCGTTGAAGACGGCCCAAGAGGCCGCCAAGACCGCCCCAAGACGGCCCAACAGGCCCCAACGAGGGCCGCAAGAGGGCCCAAGACGGCCGAAGAGGCACCCCAGACGGCCCAAGAAAGCTCACAGACGGCCCCAAGTGGAGTCCATGAGGAGGAGCCCTAACCCGAGAAGATACCCCCAGGAGGCCCAAGAGGCCCCAAAGGCGCCCTAAGAGGCCCCAAAACGGTCGTCAACAGGCTTCAAAACTGCCTCCAAGAGGCCCCCGAGAGACCTCCACGACATCCCAACGAACATCCAACAGGCCGATGACCCACAACCCAGGCACGATGGCCGAATGGGCCGAAGGCTGCTGCATGCGTATATATATATAATAAATAAATAAATAAATAAATAAATAAATAAATAAATAAATAAATAAATAAATACATAAATAAATAAATAAATAAATAAATAAATAAATAAATAAATAAATATATATATATATATATATATATATATATTACACACAAGATTTGTACAACTCGCTACGCTTCGCCGTTGCAATCTTGATCGCATGGCGCCAGCGAGGTGCGCTGCAACCGCCATTGCCGTCAATTGGGAATGGGGGAATGGAATTGCGTGGTCCCAGAGCTTTTTGAGGTGGCGGGCGCCACGGGTCTGGAAGGTCCCTCGAAGGCTCTAGGACACATGAGATTTGTTTTGTTCATGAGGGTCACATGGTCACATGCGTCATGGAGTCTAAACGGCATACGGGGCTCATCGGTTTCAATAGGAACGAAGAACTCCCGGGGGCTCACGTTTCATGGGGCTGGGGCTGGAGCTGGGCTCGAGCTGAATCTGGGGCTTGAGCTGGAGCTGAGCTGGAGCTGGAACTGGAGCTGGAACTGGAGAGCTCCTGCAAGTGCTGCTACAGCTCCCCGTCCTCCTCCTTCTCCTCCTCATTTTCCTCCTCCTCCTCCTCTGCCTCCTCCTCTCGGAGAACCCGAAACGCTGGACGGGGCATAGCAACTCCATCCTGGGAGAGGATTTATGACAACACGGAAAGCTCGATTACCCCAGCAAAGCCCTCTAATAGCAGCAAAGGTGACACATGGGACATGGTGTACCTGTGGGACCTGCGGGTTAACCGGACCTGCGGCACCTGAGGGACGTGTGGGACTTAGGTGACTTGCAACACCTGCGGGAATTTCGGGACCTGTGGGATCTGTGGGACCTGTGATACTTGTGGTACCTGAGATACCCGCGATACCTGAGACCTGTGGGGCATGCGGGACCTGTGGGACCCGTGGGACCTGTTGTGCCTGCGGAACCCACGAGAGGTGCGACACTTGTGGGACCTGCGGGACCTGCGCGACTTGTGGGACATGCGAGACCTGTGGCATGTGTGAGTCCTGCGAGACCTGTAAACCTGTTGGACCCGTGGGGCCTGCGGGACCAATGGAACCTGTGGGACCTGTAGGACCTGCGATATCTGCGAGACCTGTGAGACCCGTGGGACCTATGGTAGTTGTAGGACCTGTGGAACCTACGGCACCTGCGGGACCTTCGACAACTGTGGGACCTGTTGGACCTGCGGGACCTTTGGGACATGTGGGACCTGTGGCACCTGTGGGACCTGCGGGACCTTTGGGACACGTGGGACCTGCGAGACCTGTGGGACCTGGGGGACCTGCGAGACCTGTGGGACCCGGGGGACCTGCGAGACCTGTGGGCCGTGTTGGACCTGTGGGACGTGCGGGACCTGTGGGGCCTCTGAAAGCTGCGAGATCTTTGGGACCTGTGGCGCCTTTGGGACCTCGTCGTCGTCATCGTCATCGTCTTCGTCCTCGTCCTCGTCATCGTCATCGTCATCGTCATCGTCATCGTCATCGTCATCGTCATCAGCATCATCATCATCATCATCATCATCATCATCATCATCATCATCATCATCATCATCATCATCATCATCATCATCATCATCATCATCATCATCATCATCATCATCATCATCATCATCATCATCATCATCATCATCATCATCATCATCATCATCCCCATCCCCATCCCCATCCCCATCCCCATCCCCATCCCCATCCCCATCCCCATCCCCATCCCCATCCCCATCCCCATCCCTCCTCCCACGTCCTCTTGTTCCTGCTCCTCATCCTCCTCCTCGTCCTTCTCATCCTCCTCCTCCTCCTCCTCCTCGTCCTCGTCCTCGTCCTCGTCCTCCTCCTCGTCCTCGACCTCCTCCTCCTCCTCCTCCTCCTCCTCCTCCTCCTCCTCCTCCTCCTCCTCCTCCTCCTCCTCCCCCTCCGGAGCTCACCCACCCTCGCCCACCTCACCAACCTCACTCTTCCTCACGGCTCGCAGGTGGTCGAGCTGCCAAGCGCCTGGATCCAGAGAGCAGCCCTCAACTCCCTGTGGCGCCAGACTCCCTTGAAGAGGCCCCAGGACACACAAACAGATGCACACAAATAAGCAGATTCCCCATATTTTCCCATATTTTCTAGGTTCCTGTCTTCCCCCCCACTTCCCATAGTTTCCCATATTTTCTGGGGAATCGAGGATTAATTGTGTCTGTGTGTGTGTTTCCTTTCCTCCTGATCCCTGCAGCTCGCAATGAGAAGAGCGAGAACAATCATCAAAGAGAGGAGATCGGTCTGGCCTGGGATCCAAAGACGCCCCAGAGTGGCTTGCCCACTGCTGCCTCGCAGGGGACTCAGGCAGGCGCGCGGGCAAGAAAGCGACACCTGGGGAAGCCAGCCTGGCAAGGACGTGTGACGAAGGAGCCCGTGCCAGTGGCTAAAATAACACCGGCGAATGAGGGCAGGGGGATGGGCATTACAAATGAGAAGAGCCATGAAAGCAAAGAGGTGCGACTGGATGAGATAAGCCGAAAGCAGCGACTGACAATGATGGTCGCGATAATAATGCTAAGCGTGGCGAGCAACGCTAAAACCAAAAAGCGGGGACGACGAGAGCTTGAGTGATACAAGCCTGGACACAATATGAAGAAGGCGAGAGGGAGTCCAGAAGCACACGGACCAGCATGAGCATGGTCACGATTATGATCACAGGGGTGATGCACTACGCTCTCTAGTCTGCCGTATCCTGGCAGGTTGCGATCTGCTCTGCTTTTCTCTCATACGCTAAGGATTGCTGCACGTATTTCCATCCTCTGCTCATTTCCAGTGTGCTCCTGCCTGCTTCACCATGCTCGGCCCTAGCATGTGCAAACTCCACCCGACTATGCTCTGCTCTGCTCTGCTCGACTGTACTCTGCAATACTAGTGTGATATTGAATTACATATTGCATAGTTCGAAGCCATTCCACGACACTAGTTCCTGCTACACGCCTATTTTGCATACGCATGAACATAGCATTCGTAGCCGTTATATGTGTGTATGTAGATAGACATGCACAAGTATGTGTATGTGTATATATATATGTGTGTACATAAATGTATGTATGTATATGCACACACATACATACATACATGCATACATACATACGTACATACATACCTGTACATGTTCATGTACATGTACATGTGTATGCATAGGGACATACAAGCCTGCATTGGCGGTGCGCACCATGCACCTTAGCCTTTTGACTTTCGCCCGCAAGCGGCGTGCGCGCGCGCATGACTGGACGCGCGCATGCGTGCACGCGCGCGCACGTTATACGTGAGCGAAAATATGTATACACATAAAAAATACACATCCATACATACATAGAGACAGACAGACAGACATACCGACCTACCTACCTACATACATACATACAATACAATACAATACAATACAATACAATACAATACAATACAATACAATACAATACAATACAATACAGTAAAATACAATACAATACAATACAATACAATACAATACAATATTATACTATACAATACAATACAGTACAGTACAATACGATACAACACAATACAAGACAATATAATACAATACAATACAATACAATACAATACAATACGATACGCTACAATACTATACAATACAATACATACAACACATACATAAATGCATACGCTGATGTGTGCATGTGTATATTGATGTACATACACATACATGAGTACATATAAACGTCGAACTCTGGGCGCGCACAAATCCCACCAGCCTTCTGGGCGACAGGTGGTCTAGCGAGGGTGTTTTTCCTTCCACAACCCGTCTTCCCTTCGGGGAGGGGGACCCTCCCCCTCCCCTCCCTGACGTTTTTTTCGAGGGGGGGGTCGCGAGGTGTTGGGAGTTTTTTTTTGCCCGGCCCCTGGGAAAGCCAGATTCTGACACCATTCGCGAGGATCGTGGCCTCCGAGGGGGGAGGGAGATCGAGTACCCCCCTCATTTGACCGACCGCCCCCAAGATGGCCCCCACAGGCCCTCCAGGGTTTCCAAGAGGCCCCCCATAAGGCTCAAAGAGCGCCCAAAGAAGCCCCAAAAACGTTCCAACAGGCACCCGAGGAGCCTCTGAAAGCCCAAAATGCCCTCCAAAATGGCTCAGATAGCCCAGGCCGGGGCTCAAGATGGTTCCCAAGACGCTCCAAGCGGCCCCAAGACCGCTCCAAGACGGCTCGAGATCGCCACGGATCTTTCCAAGCATCCCTCGACGTTTGACGATGCGTGTATCTTCCTCTCTTCCCCCGTCAACTCTCGTGGGCATCGTTTCTGGATGGGCTGGCGGGGGCAATTGTTTGATCGCGCCCGCGGCGAGAAGGTCGGGCGGGGTAAAGGTACGAAGCGCAGATGCATCGGCCCAAATCAGCGCACAGGAGGAGGGGGGCGAACACAAGAAGAGAACGAACGCGGAAGAGAGAAGACCCAGCGGGGGGGGCAAACAGGAGGCGAACCTCGCTGCCGCTTACAAGACACCTGGGAGGACATCCGGGCGAACTGCAACACCAAAATGGTGAAATTCGAGGGCAGCTCCGCGACCACGTAGAGGACCTCCAGCGAGACGAGCAGCGAGTCCACGACGAACCGTCGGACCGCAGGACGCAAGCCAGCAAGGTCACCACTGCGAGGGAGATCCCCGGAATGCAAGCACTCAACTGACCAGATCCGCAGCGCCAGACACCGAGAAGGCGCCGGGGGTACCATCAGGCGGGGACCGGCAGCCAGAGCCGCCACGGCGGCGAGAAAGGCCAGAGAACTGACGAGCAGCAGGTTGGGAAGTCGCGGGTGCCACCAGGCGGGGGCGACCAGCCCGCGCCGCCAAGGTGGCGAGAGAGCCCAGACGGAGGACTGGAAGGGGAACTGCTGGCAGGGCGGGCGCGAACAACACGCGCCGCCCACGCGGCAGGGGGCCCAGCCAGAGGCCTGACAGGGATGAGCAGGCGCGGCGGGGGAGGACCAGGCGCCCGTCAGCCCCGTGCGGGGAGGGATGGCAGAGCGACGGGGGAGCCCCGAGCGCCTCGCGACGGGCGGGGCGCAAAGGGGGGCAGCCCAGCACCGAGAGGCGAAGGGCCGGTGGGGATATATTTTTGTTCGCTCGCCAGCGCAAGCGGGAGAGCCGCGCGCCGTCACAAGGGTCAAGCAAACCTAAATGCCGCGGCCAGGGACAGAAGCGGCGAGCAGGCTGGTGGGGATACTTTTTGTTTTTACAGCCGCAGGCGGAAGCGCCGGCAGCGGCGGGTCACGGTCGGGCTGCGGCCGTGACGAATTACCCGGGCGCGCGCGGATCAGGCGGCGGTGCAAACTGCAGCCCAGGGAGTCTGAGGGGTCAGCCACCCAGGAAGCAGGGCAGACGCAGCCAAAATGGCGCGCCGCACATCCCCAGTCATGGATCGTGTCGGTCAGACAATCGCATGGTAGTGGGAATCAGTCTCCGTGCAAGAGAGGTGTCAGAGAGCCCAGGGTGTCTGTCGGGTATGAGCGGACCGAAGGCGTAGAGCTGACGTCGCCCAGCAGGGAGAGGGATTTCTGGCAGCGCCAGCGAACCGTCGCAGCTTCAGAAAACGCATCCGGCGGCTGACAGGTTACGCCTGTAGTCATAGACAACCAGGGTCAACCTCAGAACAACTGCGGAGGGATGCGTCTGCACGCGAGAGATCAACGACATGATGTGACGCAGTGCAGGGGTACACCTGCACCCGACCTGGAGAGAGAGACACACGGTCAATCGAGAGTGACGGGGCGTGTACCAGGAAGCGACTAAGTGACAAACCGCGGCTCTCCACACACGCAGAGGGGCCAGTACGAGGAAAGCGCTCAGAGAAAGCTACGCTGCCGCATACCCACTGCAGCACAAGCAATCCGTAGTCACGAAGTCCCAGGGAGTGGTCGCTCAACCAGGTTGAGCGTGGGAGCGACGATGGGGAGACGTCAGTGCGAAAAAAACTGGTGGGGATACGCGAAGCGTCAAGGATGTGTACCACGTCTACCTGTACATGCCTAATGCATGTCTACAGTCATGCGCACGCGCCTGCGCGCGCGGGGAATAACACTGCATCGCGCGCTGTGTCGTAATCGCCCCTGCTCTCACAATGGCGTTTTCTCCCGTTTTCTCGCGCCCCCCATACACTTCCGTGAGATGCCTGCTATACCCAGACCGGTGGAGAATTCTTCTCGAAGAAAAGATTCAAAGTACATGAGGCACACACGAACAAATCCGTTGTGGGCGGAGGCATCGTGTGGTGCAGGGAAGAACTCGGACATGAGCCAACGTGGCTGCGCACGGGGCCCGCGGAAGAGGGAAGGAGGAGGACAAAGAGGCGGAAGAGGAAAAGAAGGAGGAAATCTAAGAATCGGATGAGAAAGACGTGAGGGAGAGTAGGGTAAGTCGTGTATCGACGATGGGAAAAAAGGCAGAAATTAGGTTGATCGCAAACGAATGGCTGGAGACCCAGGTTGGAAACGGCATGCAGGTCGTCGCCTGGACTATGGAAGGGGCCGTGTGGGGCCCTTCGGGGGCTTCGGGACCGTGTTGCAGCGGGGCTCTATCATCTCGGCGCTGAAGCTATTTTGCGCCGTTTGCTTTTGGGAGGCCTCGTGTCAGAATGTGAACGTCATGCGGACATGCTTGGGGCCTCACGGGCCCTTCTGAGGGCCTCTGTGGGAAGTGGTGCAGTCCTGTTATTCCACACGCGTTTCGTGGGGTTCTGGTTTTCACCCCTGCCGCGTCGCACCCGAGTCTTCCGCACACACACACACACACACACACACACACACACACGCACACACACACACACACACACCTCCCCTCCCTCCTCCTTCCTCCCCTCATCCACTTCCTTCCTCCCTTCACCCACACGCAACCCACGCACGGCACGTGCATCAGACACGCGTCTACATGCAGCCGCACGCATGCACACACTCGCACGCACACACACACACACACACACACACACCATACAAAGCTAGTACACGCCTGGCGTGTTCACTGCATCCTACACCCAAGACGTATGCGCTACATAATGGGCACACCCATGAGACACACATCTCACAGCGTGCCTCTTCTCGATGCTACAAGGAGGTGCACAGAGGGGTGCGGTCGCTGCTTCGGGCTCGCAAAGCGTGGCACGCGTGACACTTCCCTCGACGCCACAGGGGGTGCGCAGGGGGTGCGGTCGCTGTGCGCTTCGGGCTCGCAAATCGTGGCAGGCGTGACACTTCCTCGACGCCGCAGGGGGTGCGCTGGGGGTGCGGTCGCTATCCGCTTCGGCCTTGCAAGGCGTGGCAGGCGTGGCTTCTCGA